GATCACATGACCCTGGGACACTGCAACCGTCATAAATATGAACCAGTTGCCAGGCATCCAAATTTTGATCATGTGACCATGAGGATGTTGCAGTGTTCGTAAGCATGAAAAATGGTCATAACTCACCTTTTTTCAGTGCCGTTGTAACTTCAAACAGTTACTAAATAAATCATTGTAAGTCAAGGACTATTTGTGTTTTCTTATGTTGGAGAAAATTTGCTGCAGAGCTGTGGTTCAGACCTCTTTCTGGGAGTTACCATGTAGTAAACTTACTCTCTTCGTATACTTTTGTGGAGCATCCAACTGGAAGTCAAAAATTAGCAGCTCACTTAGGAAGCCTTCTACAGCTGGGTTCTCTCCAGATGTGTTTGCATTTAGACTCCAATTCCCAGAATTCCTAGGCAACATGGCCACTGCCAGTCAACATATGTAAAGAGCGTGGGGGAAAGTAGCATAATCTAAGATTAGAAACCACACCTTCTTATTTATACAGAATGTGACATTTATGGGTGTAAATGCAATTCATATGCATTACTTGTTTGCAAATAGGAAAGAATGAAAATGAAGACAATCTGCATTAGTACCAAAGATTCAATGGGCCATCTGTGTTTTATGTCAATATTTAACTCACATCACATCATCTGCTCTACTAGCAGCTATTGTTGTGGCAACAGCTTTTATAATGAATCCTCACTGAAGAAAACAAAGAGGATGTTAGTAGCATTCAACTCTTTTATAAATCTTATAAATTTATAGAAATTAACAAACCCCTATCATTGCCAGTTTCTATGGTTCAATACTGATTTGGGTCAAAGTGGAAGACCAATACATCTGGTGAACATCCAGTTGGAGAAAACTACTTGAGAATAAGCTGAATTTGTCAAAGTGAGCCACTGGCTAATCTGTCAAAATTGTGTGTGTGTGTGTGTGTGTGTGTGTATTTCAAGTATTTTTAATAAAACACAGTAGAAGTGAATGTTTACATCTCAGAATTAAATATTTTATCAAAGATAAAACATTGTTATTTCTATGTTACTGACTGTTGAAAGAAGTATTAAATTCAGTTGCCTGGCTTGGTTTGGTAAATAAAGGTTAAAACAAATGAGTCACTAATTAAATAATACTAAACAAAAATATACAGATCCCTTTAAAACATCACAGCAGACAAACAGTGTTTTGTTCCATTCATTTCCATATAGTTTTCATTCATTTTCATATATATTTATATTGAATAAAACTACAAGGCGGAAAGGGCACCACGCAGCCAGAACTATTACTCAGAGCAGAGTTAGACTTCTGTCAAGTAGCTAAGAATCTAAATTACAGAAATACAGGTAGTGCTCAACTTACAGCACTTCATCTAGTGACCAGTTTGAAGTTAACAATGGCACTGAAAAAAGTAACATCACCATTTTTCACTTTCATGACCATCGCAGCCTCCCCATGGTCACGTAATCAAAATTTGGATACTTGGTAACCGATTCGTATTTATGACGGTTGCAGTGTCCCGGGGATCATGT